TTATCGGTATAGTGAAGCACAAGTCGTCTTACTCATATGTGTCGATTAAGTTAATGAACATATATCTCAACATTGTACTTGTCATTTGCATGTTACAATGTAAATAAGTTTCACTTATTATTTTCATGGGACGAATGGGATGTGACTACTTATACTCGTATTTAGATATGTAACAGGACAAGTGTCGTTTTCATGTCCAGTAACGACACTTATGTCGTTCCGAAATTTTCACCTACATCCGATTTTTTCAACAAAACAACAGTTTAATGGACTCCCTAAAGTATGTAACATAGGAAGTTTGACAAAATGCTCGAAATCGTTGCGATAGAAATGAGGTAAAATATTGGAGAAATCAACAGAACGACACAAGTGCCGTTACTGGTCACATGTGTCGTTCTGTCGATAAATAGGAGTGTGAATGGCCACAAACTATCCAAGCCTCAGTATTGATAAATTGAACCCATTTAATTTACAAGATGGACGCGCCATTTACAAAATTTGAGTTACGCTCACTAATTATGTTTTTCTAACGAATGTAGATAGTGACTTGTGATGTCACCCACTCGTTATTATATAATCTATGTAATTCTATCGATAATTGTAACATTTCTGACTTTCTTAAGTTGGGTGGTCCAATACTCGAGGTCGTTGCGATGGAAAAGAAGCAAAAATATTGGAGAAATTAACACGACACAAGTGTCGTTATTGGTCACGTGTGTCGTTCTGTTGATAAACAGGAGCATGAGCGGCCACGAACCGTCCGAGCCCCGGTATTCGATAAATTGAACCCATTTAAGTTGCAATATGGACGTGTCATTTACAAAATTTGAGAGTTACGCTCACTAATTGTGTTTTTTTAATGAATGTAGATAGTGACTTGTGATGTCACCCACTCATTATCATATAATCTATGTCAATTCTATCGATACTTGTCGCATAACTAACATTTAAATTTTTGCATGGCACTTTGATCTGTAAACTTAGTAAAATGTATTTTGCAATTGTACAGTTTTGATCCTTTAATTTAAATGTTTGTACAATTTTGATGCGGTGTAATTTTGATCCGTACAGTTTTGATGAATTCAATTCAAATGTTCTTATATTGTCACTCCCAAGTTGAACGTCTACTAGAACGGCACAAGTGTCGTTATGTTGTGTGAATGAAATTCAATGAGAATGGCACTAGTACCGTTAATGTCCAGAAAACGACACTTGTGTCGTTCTGTTTGGGAAGATAACATTTACTTGTACAAATATAACGATAATGAGAAAGACACTTGATCAAATATTGAATTATGAAAAGAAAAACAACTTGATGAAAACAGTGTAGAAAACGACAGTTGTGCCGTTACTGATACCAGAACGACACAATTATCGTTATGCTGTGTGCATGAAATTCAATAAGAACGGCACTAGTGCCGTACTGCCGTTACTGTCTAGAAAATGACACTTGTATCATTCTGAAAGGAAACTCGTGAATCACCGTTAATTGTCACCTAATCAACACGTCCATCCTTCCCAAGTTAGAGGGTCCAATTCTCGAGGTCGTTCGACTAGAAAAAGTTGAAAAATATTGATGAAATCAACAGAACGACACAACTGTCGTGTAACGGTACAAGTGTTATTCTGCTTAGAAACACTAGTACAGAGCGACATGACCCGTCCGAGCTACGTCGCTTACAAAGTTCTTGAGATATGCCCATTACTTGTACTTTCAAACAAATCTAGACTAAGACTTGTGTTTTCACCGTTTCATACCTTATATTTTACATCAATTCCATCGTTTGTTGTCACACAATCAACATTTTCATCCTTCTTAGGTTGGGGGAGGGTCCAATCCTTAATGTCCTTGCCTTGAAAAGTAACAAAATATTGAAAAAATCAACAGAAGGACACAAGTGTCGTTTAAGACACATGTGTCGTTATGCCACTAAAATCGATTTTGAAGAGCCGCGATCCATCCGAACCATGATAATCGATAAACTGAACTCAATTAAGTTGCAGGCTTAACATGCCGCTTACAAAGTTCTTAAGATATGCCCATTACTTGTACTTTCAAACGAATCTAGACTAAGACTTGTGTTTTCACCGTTTCATATCTTATATTTTATATCAATTCCATCGATAGTTGTCCCACAATCAACATTTTCGTCCTTCTTAGGTTGGGGGGTCCAATCCTTGATATCATTGCCTTGAAAAGTAGCAAAATATTGAAAAAATCAACAGAACGACACAAGTGTCGTTTAACGACATATGTGTCGTTTTGCCACTAAAATCGATTTTGAATAGCCGCAACCCGTCCAAATCATGATAATCGATAAACTAAACCATTTAAGTTGCAGGCTCAACATGCCGCTTACAAAATTCTTGAGATACGCAAATTACTTGTACTTTCAAACGAATCTAGATTATGACTTGTGTTTTCACCATTTCATACCTTATATTCTATATCAATTCTACCGTTAGTTGTCACACAATCAACATTTTCGTCCTTCTTAGGTTGGGGGTCCAATCCTTGATGTCATTGCCTTGAAAAGTAGCAAAATATTGGAAAAATCAACAAAACGAATCGTTCTGCCACTAAAATCGATTTTGAAGAGCGGCGACCCGTCCGAACCGCAATAATCGATAAACTAAATCCATTTAAGTTGCAGGCTCAACACGCCGCTTACAAAATTCTTGAGATATGTCATTTACTTGTACTTTCAAACGAATCTAGACTAAGACTTGTGTTTTCACCGTTTCATACCTTATATTTTATACCAATTCCACCATTAGTTGTCACACAATCAACATTTTCGTCCTTCTTAGGTTGGGCGTCCAATCCTTGATGTCTTTGCTTTGAAAAGTAGCAAAATATTGGAAAAATCAACAGATTAACAAATGTGTCGTTTAACGACACATGTGTCGTTCTGCCACTAAAATCGATTTTGAAGAGTCGTGACCTGTCCGAACCGCAATAATCGATAAACTGAACTCATTTAAGTTGCAGGCTCAACATACAGCATACAAAATTCTGCATTTTTGCCCATTACTTGTACTTTCAAACGAATCTCGACTAAGACTTGTGTTTTCACCGTTTCATACCTTATATTTTATATCAATTCCACCGTTAGTTGTAATACAATCAACATTTTCGTCCTTCTTAAGTTGGGAGGTCTAATCCTTGATGTCCTTATTTTGAAAAGTAGCAAAATATTAAAAAAATCAACATAACGACACGAGTGTCGTTCAACGACACATGTGTCGTTCTGCCACTAAAATCGATTTTGAAGAGCACGACCCTTCCGAACCACGATAATCGATAAACTAAACCCATTTAAGTTGCGGCTCAACACACCGCTTACAAAATTCTGGATTTATGTTCATAACTTAATCAAGAGGAAAAAAACGACACAACTGTTATTTTGGTTTTGAAAACTGCCCAAGTGTCGTTCTGCCTCTAAAGAGTCGCGATCCATCCGAACCACGATAATAATAAGTTGAACTCATTTAAGTTGCAGTATGAACACGCTGCTTACAATATTCGGGATTTATGCTCAATTCTTAATCAAGAGAAAAAAAGAAAACGACACAACCGTCGTTACTGTTTTGAAAATGGCACAAGTGTAGTTCTGCCTCCAAACACGATTATGAAGAGCCGTGACCAGTTCGAGCCACGATAATGATAAGCTGAACTCATTTAAGTTGCAGGATGAACACACCGCTTACAATATTCGGGAGTTATGCTCATTACTTAATCAACAGAAAAAAGAAAACGACACAATTGTCGTTAAACGGTATAACTGCCATTATGGCTTTATCGAGCCTAAGACAATTACATACTCCCTCTTTCCAAATATTATATTTAGTTTGATTTTCAAAATGACAAGTAGTACATTGTAACATAACACAGCCATCATTTTTCAATATTACAAAAAGAGTACATCGTAACACTACAAAAGCCACATATGTGCTATCTTGTCTTCATTGTTCATGTCTCTCGTTGAGTGGTACACGATCTGTACAAGATAACGACTGCACTGTCGTTTTGCACTACGTAAAACGGTTGGAGTGTCGTTATGTACTGTAGACTGTTCAATAGTTACGCACACTACAGAAATACACCAACCGTGGAAAAAAAATCAACTAAAATATCATTTCATACTATATTCAACAATAAAAATACCAATGTACACTAGATTACCAAAAACACATTTCTTTTTTCTTCAAATATTTAGAGATTTCAATGTGGATAATATAGAAACCAAAATTCTTATTTGAATACTCAAAATGTAGGAAAATATAGGTGAGTAATATAATAAATAACAAGATTTTGTGGGGCAAGCAAGTACAGGAGACGAAGAGCTCGTTAATTGGATTGGAGATGAATTGAAAATTTTAATTGAGCTCGTTAATTGGATTGGAGATAAATTGGGAAATTTAATTGGATTGAAATGGTATTTGGGTCTTTTCACGATAGTATATTTTAAACCTTCTACACCCTTTATTTATTGTATTTTATAATGGAGGTCATTTTATCAATAAACATTAAAAAGATGCTCTTTATTCAAATACTTTGAATATGCCTTCTAAGAAAGAACCACTTTTGCCTTCCTCAGTATTCGGATGTTCACAAGGCAAAACGGTTTTTTCTCCTTCCCTTTTTTTATTTCACTTTCTATTACTCACATTGCAGAAAGGCCACCTGAAACAAATAGTAAAAAAGTGAAAATCACAAGATATGGGCTTGTTCATCTACTAATTCTTCTCTTATCAATTGATCTTTCAGTGTAAGTTTCATTTTTTTTCCTCCTATTTTTATTGTCTGAATCTTTTTTTGGGGGGGCAAAAAATACCAATTGATGTGAAACATGCATGCACGCGTGTTAAAAATAATATGGGTTCTGGCAATTAAACCATTATGTCATCTCTTCTCTTATAGGATCATTATATAGCGCTTGTGTAAATTGACTCAATTCAGTATTTGCGTTGTAGAATATTAGAAAATACATGAGAAAATGTCCAGTTTTGTGGGTGTTATTGTTTCTGATCCATGGCTTCAAAGCCAATTCACTCAAGTCGAGCTTCGAGGCCTTAAAACCAAAGTACGTAGCAATTATATTTTATTTTTAGTAAGAAAATGTATTGTTTTAATTAATTCGTATTGATTCTTAATTGTTACATTCTGGGTATAGTTTGTTTCTGTGAGGGATAAATCTGGGAAGGTCGCATTGGGAGATTTGCCAGCAGTTATGGTGAAACTGAAGGCAGTTAGTGATTTGCTAACTCAAGATGAGGTTAAGGATATCTTGAGTGAGTCGTTTTCTGACTTCGACCAAGAAATTGACTTTGAATCCTTCCTTCGGGTAAGTGTTGTGAATTTGATATAAATATCATTATGGAATTTAATAGGCATTTTTTTTTAAATGGTGGATGAAATTTGGAAGAACTGGGTGAAAGCAATGGAATGTGCAGGCATATTTGAACTTACAAGCACGAGCCACAGCGAAAATGGGTGATTCCAAAACTTCATCTTCGTTCCTCAAAGCAACCACAACTACACTTCGTCATACCATTAGTGAACCTGAGAAATCTTCATATGTTTCACACATCAATAGCTTTCTTGGTGAAGATTCATTCTTAAAGAAGTATCTACCCTTAGATCCAGCAACCAATGTTCTGTTTGACCTTGCAAAGGATGGAGTCCTTTTATGGTACTTGTCTTAGTAATTCTTGATTATATGGAATATACATACACATGACATTTTAACTCGTAGTTTTTGATCTATTTAGTCATTTACTGCAGTAAACTTATTAATGTGGCTGTCCCTGGCACTATAGACGAGCGAGCTATCAATACTAAGCAGGTATTGAATCCTTGGGAGAGGAACGAGAACCACACCCTGTGCCTTAATTCTGCAAAGGCAATTGGATGCACTGTGGTGAACATTGGCACTCAAGACCTAGTTGAAGCAAGAGTAAGTAAATTAGTACTAGTTTTATATGGAATTCCAAAATATGATTCGTATCTTGGGTTTATAAGTTGTTGATGGTAGTCTCTTCGATTATTGTATAGCCCCATCTGGTCCTCGGGCTGATTTCTCAAATAATCAAGGTAAATTTAATACTGCAATTGAACAGTACTTTTGCTATCTTCTTAACCTTTGTTAAATTCGATGATATGGCAATACCAGATACAATTGTTAGCTGATCTCAATCTGAAAAAGACTCCTCAACTTGTTGAGTTGGTGGAGGATAGCAAGGTCAAAAATTCTTACCGTTTTCTCGTAGACAGAAAATGCTAAATATTTCATCATGCTCTAAAATAAAGTGGTGCTACATATTGCAGGAAGTGGAAGAGCTCATGAGCTTAGCCCCTGAGAAGGTTCTCCTGAAATGGATGAATTTTCATCTGAAGAAGGCGGGATATAAGAAACAAGTTACAAATTTTTCATCTGATCTCAAGGTAATAAGAGTTCTAACATTCTATTACTGGCTACAAGTTTTTTATTTGGAATTCTCATGGCCAAGACATTTACGAAGTATATTTAATTAGCGGGCTAGAAATTTCATGGTATTGAGAAGAAAATTTGCAGTTGAAATAGATTTTTAGTTCTTTGTATGTGCTTGTGAAATGCATCACTGAGAAAAACGATCTACGCTCATGTAAACTTGATATGGTCAAACTGGCACTTCTACTTCAGTATTAAGTTTTTCCTGATATTTTTGCTTCCTTGTTTGGACAATGAGATAGTGGGATGCATGTTCAGGATGGTGGGGCTCAATGAAACCTTTAGTAGATGGCAAAAATGAATTAGTATTCAATTATAAAATGCATTCTGTTTCATGTATTTTTTTTATGTTGAATAATGAGATATAATCAGGTTTTTCTCTTCCTCAAACCCCAGCTCCCTTCTCCTGAATAGTCTACTATTACGTAATTTCTTCCCCGTAACTTGTTTTGTTGGCCATACCCAAAGAATGAATAAAAATGACAGTTCATCATCGAGGATATTCTGTTTGATGTTTTCTCATCCTTCAAATAACTGTTTCTGAAACTGATATTATGATTTCATTATCTCCAAGTTCAGGTGTGCATGTATATTTTTGAATGAGGTTCGTTTTTTAATGTTCTGGAGGAGTGGCCTCTTTATACGGAAATTAAACTATATCAGGAAATACAATAGTTGAATATAGAAATGAAAGTGGAAAAAATGAATAGGAAAAAAAAAAAAAAATTATATAGGGACCTGGTAATATTTCCTACACAGGAAAAAGATACTTAGAATTTCTCTTGAAAACTCATATTTCTGTTTCCCCATTAAAAGATGTAAAGTACTACTCTAGATCGAGAGATTACATCATAATTTACGGACTTCTATATATCTTTATTTTACTAATAAGATGCATTGAATGATAACGAGTAATCCTAGCTGAACAAGGATTATACTTATTCACAAACCAATCCGAACTAGACTAGCACTTCAGAAGCTGCAGAAAAATAGCTCTTATTTGAATAGTTAGTAACCTCCGTTTTTGCTTAAAGAATTATCTTGTTGGACCAGTGATATTAGCTTATGTTTCCGGTTGAGGTAAAAAGGGAATTCTATCTGCACTTGTCGAGGATTTTGCAATTACTATAAAAGTCATCACAAGCGAGTGACAATTTTACCAATCTTTCAATGAGCAAAACACAAAAGAATAAAGTCTATTTCCATTGTGCATAAGAGATAATAGAATACTCTGAATAATAGTTTGCAGATTGAAACTCGCAGGAGTACAGGCTACTAGCCAACATCAATTTTATAAGTAATAATAATGAGTATGTATGGTCATATTTATATGATAATGTAACATGAACATAAATTTATGTTTCTTTAAGAGAAATTACACTTTTTGTTGAACAATAAATGAAGACTTCTGAGAGTTGGTCTGCATATTTCCGATGACATCTTTTCTTGTTATAACTATCTTAGACTTGGCATCAAGAGCCCAGCATCATGGCTCATATTCTGGTTTGATGTTTTCCTAGTAGCACTTTTACTTACGTTCATACCCACTCTCATTAGCTGCTCATTTTCATTTGAGACGTGTCTTTGGAAGGATCAATTATTGATATTGTCAACAGGTTATTAATAATATTAATAATTTCAAAATTTTAGCTCTTTTTCTAATCTGATATTGCAAATGTCTTTAACCTGCAGGATGGGAAAGCTTATGCTCATTTGCTCAATGCTCTTGCTCCAGAACAATGTACGACCACAACTCTAGATGCTAAAGATCCTACTGAAAGAGCGAATTTGATTCTTGAGCAAGCAGAGAAACTGAATTGTAGAAGATATGTTACTTCAAAGGACATCGTAGAGGGCTCACCGAACTTAAATCTTGCATTTGTTGCTCAGATATTCCAACACAGGTTAGACTATCATAATCATGTGGTGCCAGATAGGAACTTCGTTTCTACTGAATCCTCTCTTCCGAATTCATCTCATATTCCATCCATAGCCCATATTATACTAGCACTGACAAGCCATCCTTCTATTTTCATAATGTCTAAATAACCGTAGCTACCTTGTACATAGAGAACAAAAATATTCTTTATCCCCATTTAATTTAACTTTTTACAACTAAGAGTTTTTGGCCGATCAGAATTGGAAAAAGAATGAAATTTATTTTCGTGATATTGTGGCCTGTGGTTGGAATAGGATGATTAAAAACAAAGAGCAAATTATGGATATGTACATTCTAATTGGTCAAAATAATATTACGGGGGAATGGTGGAGTTCAAAGGTAGTTGGGGGTACACAATGGCAAACGAGAGATTTTGGGGTGACTTTGTTGGCTGTATATATTGTATGAATGCCTTCGTGTATTGGAGAGAGAGAGAGACGTATCTATCAGGCAGGGACGTCATGGATAGATACTAAAGACATAGTTTTCTTTGATTCTTGTCATTCCATAATACTACCGTTTTGCCTGGCAAGGCATCTTTTGTTCACATAACTTGGGGACTGTGCTAACTTGTTACCTGCTCAGCAACACCTTTATTTATTTATCTCTTTTGATATATTTTTAGCACAATGTTTAGTTAATTGATTCCATTTGTTTTAAAATTATCATTCCACATAATTTTATGCTCGACCTTTATGTGCTTGTTTGATTGTAGATTTAGAAATGATTATTGTGTTAATGTTGTTGCAGGAATGGCCTATCTGTGGACAAGTCGAAGCTTTCTTTTTCTGAGATGATGACGGATGATGCTCAAACTTCAAGGGAAGAGAGATGCTTCCGGTTATGGATTAACAGCCTTGGAATTGATACATATGTTAATAATGTATTTGAAGATGTCAGGACAGGGTGAAGTAGCCACTTCTTTGCAATGATGTTGTGCTTTATAAATTACATTTGATGTTCATTCTTCTTGTCTGCAGATGGATTCTCTTAGAAGTGCTTGATAAAATGTCCCCGGGGTCGGTAAATTGGAAACATGCTACAAAACCTCCTATTAAGATGCCTTTCAGGAAGGTTGAGAATTGCAACCAAGTGATAAGCATTGGGAAGGAATTGAACTTTTCCCTTGTGAATGTTGCTGGAAATGATATCGTGCAGGGAAACAAGAAGCTCATTTTAGGTGAGAGTTATCCTACTCATAATCCCCCCCTCCCCCAATTTTGCATAAGGTTGTTGGTGATGGGAATCATTAGATGCAAATAAGAAAACATTAACTTAATCATTCCCCATTGCCAGGGTGCCAAGTAGTGGAGTTCTATTGTCTTACCTTCATAAAGTTCTAGAGTATTATGATATGTACATGTTTAGTCCTCTTATTATCTCATCTGTGTTTATATATAGAAAGTAATTCACTTTTTTTGTTTCACCCGCTAATTAAGGGTTTGTGTCCTTCAAAATTATTAGTTTTTAACTTGACTATCGTTGAAGGTAATGTTTAAATTTTATACATGTGTCTCTATCTAAAAGTTTAAATTTTTAGATCAAGTGGTTCAACATGCAAAGGTTCTGAGTTTGAGTCTTACTACCACCCATTTAAATGAATTGGTGCGCATGTTAGGTTTTGATGGAAAAAAAAGTTAAAACATGCCTACATGGGAAGGGTCACGTTGAAAACAATATTAGATGATATACATTTGACATTATCCACTAGCTTAAACTTTTAGATCAATTGATTGAAACCACAGGGACTATTCATATTTCATATTTTAATCTGATGCATTTTACTTTTCGTTCCATACTAAATCATGTTTGATTTTTGCTATCTGCATAAAACTTGATTTAATTACTTTTAAGTTTTCCATAGGTCTTGTTCTTCACAACTTCTATAAATTAACTTAATTAAGTTCTTAACTTGAACCTCAAGTGTGTTCTTATATTGTTTGTCTATGGTAAACTTTTTACTACCCTAGGAAAAATATTTACTTCATGATTATAATGTAGCTCCTAACAGTTGAAATTCTAAGAAAAAAATGGATACTGTAAAATATTTGTTGAGATCTTTGCACAGATAGTAATTTTTTTAATAATTGTGCGAGGAACGATCATATATTACTTGAAGAGTATATCCTGAAATAGCATAGATTGTCCTACCACATAGTCCATGGGGAGAAATTACTAGGACATTAACTCTTGCTGTTTTTTAATCTGAAAACTAGAGATGAGACCTTGCTACAACCTAGTCGGAAGGTCTAGGAGTGTCCAAAAGTCCCGGACCGAACCGAACCCGAACCGAATCGAGCGGTTCTTCATAAATTAAATACCCGAACGGGTACCCGAATCGAGAACCGATGGGTTTGGGTCGGGTCTCGGGTCTAGACCAAGAACCGAAGAACCGAATAAGAACCGAAACTAAATAATTNATTTCATAATTTTAATTTTAAAGCCCAAATCATTTTTAAAACCCGTTAGCCCATTTTAATTTGAAGCAAATGAATATACTTTATGTAGTGTTGCTGTAATATTAATATCTACTTTTTGGTATTTGTATGCATTGAATTAATCTTATTGGACGGCTAGTTATTTATATGTTTTTTAATTGGGCTACGTTAATTTGTAAAAGTTACGAATGAAATATCATTAGTTGTATTTATGTAGTGTTGCTGTAAATATTAAAAAATTTAATTATGGTACGGAACCGAACGGAACTGAACCGACCCGAATGGAATCGAACGGAACCGAACCCGAACGATTCTATAATTATATTTGGACCCGACGGGTCCATTTATTAAATACCCGAAAGTTTTGGATCGGTTTGGGTCTCTTCAGAACCGAACCGAACCGACCCACAGACAGCCCTAGGAAGGTCATTGAACTGTCAAGTGATGGTGATAACGTATCTTATTATTAACTAGATAACATCTCATAAGTTCTTTGTGCTATGTGGCCTAGCAACCAGCTTTTGTTTCTCGCTTCTCTATGTCACCAAGTTATCTCCAAAGAATGTACATCTTGTTCTCTTATTGATCCTGCTCAATCTGCATAATTATATGGTTCTTAGCTCAGATCTTGGTTTTTGTTAAGGAGAATTCCCTTGGAGTTGATTTCAAGTAGCTTGGAATGATCCCAACTGCCTTTAGATGAACTTGCCTCTTAGAGAATGCAAGAATTGACATACGATGCTTTGACTGTAGAAGCAAGCATCCCTATCTCCTGTAGAAGATCAATAATGGATTTTTAATGTGAGAGAAACGCACCATTTCTTCAATGTACCAGGGGGGGGGGGGGGGGGGGGGCGCAACTTCTAACTGTCTGCTTGGTTAGTCCGTCCAAGGCTTTTATTTCAAAACTTTAGTTAGTCTATTCGTGAGTTTTTATTTCTTCAAAGTATTCTCGTAACACCATTATATCATCCACAGGATGACAAGGATCATTTTTATCCATTTGTGAATACTAGATGAAAATAATGAGATTCTTTTGAATTTGTTGAAACTCCATCTCATTCCACTCATTCATGGCTTCTGGAAGTCATCTAAACCATTCATGAAAAGACCTTTTTCTACCTGCACAAACTATTTCTTTTAAAATCTTCACTGAAACTTGGTGGAGCCTCCATCTACTCTTCTTCCTCAAGTTCACCGTGCAAGAATGGATGCTTAACATCGAGTCACTGCAAAGACCAACCAAACTCTAAGCTACCAAGGATAAAAACACAAGAATAAAAACATACAAATAGCCCAGAATTCAAGTGATGCAGGATAGGAGAAGAAAACAGCAGGGGGGAGAATGGGAGAAGAAGTCTGAGGAGAAATCAGGGGAGAAAGGGGGAAGAGAGAAAACGTGGCTACAAGCCAAAAACTCAATTCATTTTTATTCATTCATCGTCTGTCTAAATTACAATATGAAAATCCAATAAATAGTAAAAACCTAAACCTACTAGTATTGGGACTAATAAGGTCCAATAACAATAAAAATTAAATCTCGATTATTGATGTCCGCATCAACTCTCTCGGGGTGGGAGGGTCGAGTAGATAAACTTCTACAATGGGGGACGATCTTTCGTATCGAAACTCTAGCAGTGTAATCCAGATTTGTTGGAGCATCTCGACATGACTCTATGTACGGTCTGCATAAGGTGGAACTACCCAACGAGCAAAGACGCACCGAATCCCTCTATCATTGGTCAACACAATCCGTTCATCTAAAATAACATCAATTGTATCTTTGTGTGCTGTGACAGATGGTATGGAAGTAGAAATATCAACATAGATAGGTTGAGAATCCACAGAGCTAAATAAAAAATGATCATCAAAGGAATTGAAATAGAAAATGATCATCAAAGAAATTGAAATGATGTTTGTAAGGAATGAAGTCCTCAATATTTAAAGTAGAGTGGTAGTCAAAATGTGATAAAAGATCAATGACATATGTATTTGGACCAACATGCTTTAAAATTTTAAAATAACTAGCACTACGAGCTTGCAATATAACGTAATCCTCAATATTAAATTCCAAAAGTCGTTTATGTAAATCATCTTGAAGTTTATATAATGCATTTCTTGTTTCAAGTTGTTTATTGATCTCAATATGCAAATCATGGAGATGATGTACAAATGCTTCAGCTGGCATCGATACACTAGCATGTGGGGACATGTGAATAAGGTCCAAAGGCTTTAGAGGCTCATAACCACGAATAATTTCAAATGGACTTGTACGTATACACCGATTCACAGAATTTTTACATATAATTTGAACTATGGGACACTCAAATCCCAATTCCCAAGATTTTCCACAAATCAATAGCACATTTCGGTTGGATAATGGTACGACGTTCAACACTTAACTAAGAGGTATCGGGAACAAGAGGCACAATACGTAGATTCATAGGAAAAGTTCGAATACGACCTAAGGAGGTGTTCTCAATATCATTCAAGTCATCAAATTCTTCAAGTTTAGGTTTATAGACTTGATCTTCTAATCGCTCATATATTATATTCTCTCGTTCTTCAATGACTAAGGCTTGGCAAGGGCATTTGGAAGAAAAGTGACCAAAGTCCTTACAGTTGAAACACTGCAAATGAGGAGAAATTTTTGGAATTTCAGAAATTGTACATTTATTTTTGAACACAGGAGAAACATTGGACGGGGAAGGTCTCTTGATATACTTGAAAGGAAGCGGCGCTGAGGAGATTGGTGTATGGTTGTCACCGTGCTTTTTATACGGAGTACCAATAATCAACTCAAAATCTCGGGTTAAAGAGTAAGTGTGGTCAAGAGTAGTAACACCCCGAAGGAAAAGCTCACGCCTAAGATCATCTCTTAGTCCTTGTCTAAACCTACTCAAAGTCAGTGCCTCATCCTCAATGACATGACATTTCATTTAAAATTCCTCAAATTGAGCAAAAAACTCAATCACTAACTGATTCTCTTGTTTAAGGGCAGTTCATTGAGTAAGAACTTCAAAATCTAAGTAATCATCAGAAGTAGGAGCATCTACTCTATTATTTCTAAAGAAACGCTCCTTATAACGTGGAAGAGAATGAGTATTGTGACTGTCATAACCTTGTTATTTCTTACGAACCCAATTCCTATCCCTATGGTCGGGTCGAAAATACTTTTGATCACTTTGTCGACAACGATATTGTCTATTATAGGACACTTTAAAATTATCAACATCAGTCGAGCTAGGGATTTGCTTAAAAGTGGACAACCTAGCAGCTAAATCTATATTCACTTCACGAGTAGCAGCCATCTCAATTTGGACAGGTGCTAATTGAGTTTGGAATTGTTGTTGGTTAATGGCAAGTTGTGCTAAATGTCTGGTGAGGACATCAAATTGGGATGGGTCAATGGTCAGGTTATTGGAACTAGATATGATAAGAAGACTACTATGTAACTTCATGGAACATATTAGTAGCTAAATGATATGTAATGGAGAGATCAATGAACAATAAGAACAAGCGATGAAAAATAACAACCTGAACATTTAACAATTTTTTTTTTGGATTATGTAAATTCAAATACGACAAGCTAATATTGCTAATACATGTAAAATAATAAAGCAAATGTCAACTACGATTCAACAACTTAGTCACGTAAAATAAGTGAATATATCACGATTAGGAATGAAATAAGTAGGATAAAAGTGGGAGTATAACACGATTAGGGATTTAGTGACGTGAATTGTAGGTAAAAGTGGAATAACAGCAACACAAAAATTTAATTGATGTCATTTTAAATGAAACAGTAGTATAAACTAAAAATAGAGAAATAGTAGCTCCATTTTGTGTTCGTTGAGGTAACTGAACAAGTAGCTGAACACCAAAGACCAAGAAACAGTAGCTCCCCGTTTTGTTTGCTGAAGTAACTGAATCGATCAGCAGGTCAAAAGAGAGGTATCTGCAAAATGTGTTAGAAAATACTCTTTTTTTTCACACTATTTTTTTTTTTCACAATTTTTTTTTAAAAAACTAAAAATAAATTATAAAAATTAGGGCCAAAATCGAACCTAACGTACCAATAAAGCTATCTACACTTCAGGGATGATAGGTCACATTGAAGCCCAACAAAAATAACAAACAAGACTTTTTTTTTAAACGAAAACAATTAACCAAGGAGGGCCCAAATTTAAAACTAAAACAAATTAATCAGCATGGCCCAAATTGAAAAAAAAAACAAATAACAAGCAGGGGCCCAAACCAAGGCCCAAATACCAGATAAATGACACTAAACAATAGATGTGTCAATTCGAGTGGTTCGGGCCGGGTCGGCCCGTCAACATATGAGCCCGGTAACGGCCCGCGTGAAAAAAAGCTCGCCCGCTACGGCATTTGGGTCGGCCCACAAATTTTGGACTACAATCCAGACCCGCTCGGTGACCCATTCGGGTCGAGCCCATGCGGGTCACGAGTAGCGATTTGTTCCGGTTTGGCCCGTATGATTGTATAAATAAAATTATAAAAATATAGAATTTTTCATATTTATAGCGAAACATATTTTTTTTTGTTAAATATAAATTATGAATTGAACAAAAATGATAAATTCATATTTATACAAAAAAATATTTACATAGAATTCAAATTTAGCCCCCGTTTGGCACTCATTTTTTTCTCATTCTCATTCTCATTATTTTTCTCTTTCTTTATTTTAATTACACATTCTATCAATAAAATAATTTTACACATAAATCTAAAAATTCTCCTTACTTTTTAACCACACATTCTTCCATCAATCACTATTCAAAAACACATTTTTTTACTAAAATGGGTGTCAAACACCCCCTTAATGTTACATGAATTATTTATAACTTTGCAAAGTNACTCTCACCCCCTTTTTTTTTTTCAAATTAAAAAAAAAAAAAAAATTCACGGGCCAGCGGGTTAACCGCGGCCCGTGAAGGTGCAACCCGCGAAGCCCACGGGTCACACCTCTTTGACCCGTGAATCGTCCGTTCGGATCACGGGTCTGCCTGCGGTCCCGATCGATTTTCACAAGTCTGGCCGGACAGTCCGTCTAACACCTTTACTAAACAAAAATGGAGGCCCATTACCACATCTATTAACTAACAAACAGAACCAAAAGAAACCAAACCAAGGCCTAAATGTAGAGGTTGGTGCCGGCTTCGTGTACTCTCCGGTTCCTTTGGGTACTGTCGCTGCTGTCGGGGCGGATAGAGTTCGGCGACCGTAACGGTGGGATCAGGTGATAACAGCGGTGGAAGTGGTTGCAGCGAGCGGTTTGGGTGAAGGTAGGTTTTATGGTTTGTACGGCTGTTTCAATTGGGTAGCGACGCCACTGTAATTCTGGAATGTAGTAGGACCGTGGTTTTTTTGTTTTTTGATACGAAATTCGATTGTGGTTGTTGGTGGTGGGTTGGTCGTCGGCAGTTGCAGAAGAAGGGAGTTTTGAAATTATTATTATTATTTTGTAAGTTACGGTCGACGGCTGCTGTTTTTTTTTTTTTTTTTGGAAAATTAGGGGCGGCGGCGGCACTAGTTGTGGCGATGTATTAGCGTACAAAATACAACTAGTTCCTGTTCCTCCTACTGTAACAGTTTTTTTTGGTACAGAGAAAGGCTTGGATATTGCAATTGCAGGTTTGAAGCTCGGTGAATATGACATTGGGGGGTTGATTTCAGGGGGGGAATTGTTTATGTCCGTGTGTAATAAACGAGGATTGAGGTTTGTTGGTGGGCTGTAGAACTTTGGTAGTGTTGTATGTATTGTGGCGGTGGAAAATTGTAACTGCGGGTGTCGACTCTAATTCTGGGAAGTTGAAGGAGGTTGGCTATGTCTGGTGCAGTGAAAAATTCCCAAGTTTTAGCTCTGATATCGAATTTGATGCAGGATAGGAGAAGAAAGCAACAAGAAGAGGGGAGAAACCGGAGAGAATGGGGGAAGAAGCAAGAGTAGAAATCAGAGGAGAAGAGGGGAAAAGAGGAAACGTGGCTGCAAGCCAAAAACTCAATTCATTTTTTATTCATTCATTGTCTAACTCATCAACAATGANCAAATTGCAATGTGAAAATTCAATAGATAGTAAAAATCTAAACCTACTAGTATTGGGATTGGGCCAACCCACTAACACGTGCCAAGTAATAGAAAACATAACTAATAAGGTCCAATAACAATAAAAATTAAATCTCGGTTATTGATGTCTGGATCATCAAGTCTCACTGCTTTTACCTATAGGAAAGTGCATGAATTAGTGCTAACAAACTTCTATGTTGGTAAGGACTAGTGGAAGAGGTTTACTCTGGTGAGCAGCGTCCTCTTAGAATGGTAGAATGATGATGATTAAAGAGTGGAACGAGATGACAAAATTTTACAGTATTCAAATGATGTGGAGAGGGTGATTAACGACCCGACCTTTGTGCCCAGTTGCCCAATTGGTACCATAATTTAAACTAAATATCTCTTAATGGAAAGGTCGTGAGTTCGATTCTTAGAGATGCGATATAAATCCGTGGGGTAAGATGAGATTAGACTCTCTCAAATGGGATAGTATGTAAGTTAATAGTTTGGGCACAGATGTAGGGTCACTATAAAAAGGGGGCATTTTTTGTAACCATCCGACCTATGTATCCAAACAGTTAACTTACGTACTGTTAATTTAAGTATTGTCCGCTCTAGGAGAGCCAAAATCCATGTTACCTCTCAAGGATTTCTATCGCAACCGTTGATCTTTTGTTCAATTGGTACTAAAATTCAACTTAAGTCATTCATAAGAGAAATGTCAATGGTTCGAATTTTGAGGATGCGATAGGGAAGATTCATCTCAAATCGGACATTACATAAGAGAACGGTTAGGTATGAGACCCGGATCGTTATAAAAAACGCGCTTTTTTGTAACAACTCAGCCTCTATGTCCAATTCGTTAACTTACGAACTATTCGCTTTGGGAGGACATCTGCTCTCCTAGCCCTCACTAATTTATATCGCGGCCTTAGAATTCAAACCCTTACTTGGACATAGAGGCTAGATCGTTATAAAAATGATGTGACATTAAGCCCGTATTTAGCATTATTAGATACGATTGCTAAAACTTCCATATTAATCTAACAACTTGTTGGGGGTTACAAAAGGAATAATTCTAAAACTTAGTGCGGAATAGTGACAACTGTGGAGGATGTTGATTTCACCACAAGGGACATTAAATCATGTATCAATGATGAAAACTAGTTTTGAAAATGTGAGAGGCATATAAATTTGCAGATAATGGAGTTGGATAAAGGAAATTCGGATGATTGGAGTGCCTCGTCTTTTTAGCATGCAGGGTAGTGTGCAAGTCCAAGAATGGGCGCTTCTTTTTAACCGTACTAATTTAAACTTGTAGTTGATCTTCAACTGTATAACATTGTTTTTACAGATTTTTTAAAAAGATTAAGTTTCATCCTCCGTAACTTCATTTATTTCTGTTCTCTCCCAGCATTTTTATGGCAGTTAATGAGGTTTACTATGCTCCAATTGCTGAAAAACTTGAGATCGCACTCCCAAGGAAAGGAGATAACAGATGGTGACATACTAAATTGGGCTAACGACAAAGTTATAAAATCAGGAAGAACATCTGTAATGGAGAGCTTTAAGGTAGTGTCCACATCTTCATCATGTATTTATTTTCTTCGACAAAAATAATATGGATATAGTTCTTACGACTTTGTTAGGATAAAAATCTTTCAACTGGAGTTTTCTTCTTACAACTTCTGAGCGCTGTGGAGCCAAGGGTGGTTAATTGGAGCCTTGTCACAAAAGGGGAAACTGGTGTGTACGCACTACATTAGCATTTTTGAATTCTTTATTTTTTTTCTCATATATGTGTAATATGATCTTGTGAAGCACCTCTTATTTAATAAAGTGGCAATGTCGGTATGTAATTGCAGATGAGGATAAGAAGTTAAATGCAACATATATAATCAGCGTTGCTCGAAAGCTTGGGTGCTCTATATTTTTATTGCCGGAGGACATCATGGAGGTATGTTCATTTTTAACATCTCGACTAAATATGTACATATAACTATCATCTCATAAAGTAAAGCAGACTTCTTTTTCATTGCTGGTAACAGGTGAACCAGAAAATGATCCTTATCTTGACAGCAAGCATAATGTACTGGAGCCTGCAAAGAAATGATGCAGAATCCGACTCAACTCCCACTGAAGAGGCAGAATCCGGTGATATCTTTAATTTGCCGATTGATGATTCTGCCGCTTCCCCCACAGTTTAGCAATGAACACATTCTTCAGAACTTGAAAATGAAGGATCAAAAGATTAAAATAACTAGAACTGCATTTCACAAGTCATTTGCTTGGTCCTTTTATTTTTTTTTGGGAATTCATGTCTTTAGATAGTCAACGCGGAAAAGTATTATATGTAATCAGTAGGGTTTGTGATATGCTTTTCTTTGTCTTAAATTTTTATATGTACTAGTATGTGCATATGTTTATCATTTTTTCTTTCCTAGAAAGAATGATATTGAAACTAATTTGTTGCCAGATTGAGATTGCATGATGATCTGTTGTCAACTCCTATTGGATGCGAATTAAGCTAAATGAACATAATGATTGACATAGGGGTTGACCGACCTCTCACAATGCATGTGGGTCCCGACCTGAATTAAATAATGCTGACCTCCCACATGTGTGTGTGTGTTATGTCATCCCCCATGTCAAGCATTATATTTGTGTAGCAAAACTCATTGGATGCTTCCTTGGTTGCAAATAGGAGTCAGTGCAAAAAACCTTGAGTTCTGTGTTTTCGGAGAAAATAAAAGAGCCATAAAGTTTTTCATTAATTTTTTTATGTTCTCTCTCTCTCTTCTTTAAATAAAAGAAAATAAAATCAAGGCAACAATATCATTTGGTTTGACCTTGTTTCATCCTGGCCTCAAGTAGAAAAGATTCATTCGTTGAGTTACCGACCACGGGAAGAAAAGACTTGCACGAGAGATAACCCTGTAATGGAAGAGTAAAATTGTTGGCAAATAATGATATTACCGTGAATTGATTTGGGCAGAATAACGTCATACAAAAATGAATGATATAAAATGTTAATGGTTGAGATAAGAGTTTGACTCTTTCTCCTTAAGATAATAATGTCTCGCACTGGTGCTGACGGTATTCTGGCACTCGTCTTCCAAGATACAATGATCTCGACTTGTAATAATAACACTCCAAATTAAAGACCCGGTGAACCTACTCACGTTTTGATCTCTCTGAAATTGGAGGACTAAAATTGAACGAAAACTTTCGAGGCTGAATTGTAAAATATGAATAATGCAGAGGCGAAGGAATAATTTTGGAAGAAAAATAAAATCAATTCTAATTTTGGAATGAATGAAAACTACAGTATGGGGGTCTTTATATAGAAGTTAAAAAATTGTGTCTTCAACAGATACAAATCGTTTGGACAGGCAGTTTAACTGTCAACTATCAACTGTCATCTTCCAGAAGAAAACACGTGTCGCGCACAGAAAATTTGAAAAAATATATATAAATAACCATATTATTCTTTTAAATAATAATAAAATAATATAATTCAAATATTATTTTATCAAAAAATATATATCAACTTAACCCAAACCCAAGTCCAAGACCACGACCACGACCCACAACCCTACCGAATCGAGCCAAGTCGGTCAGTTGGACGAATGGCGGCAGCGGCGCGCGCATGTGGACTTTGGCCTAACCTACTAGCATGTAGGTTCTCTCTCCTTCAAATATTATCGATACCCCTTGGGCCTAAACCCAAGTCACAAATTTGAGCAATTTAATGTAGTTTCTATTCTTCTAGTTGTCCTATATATGATTGGCATTTTTCAATTTCCCACAAATTTTATTCCCAATTTATTTCAAGTTCAAGTGGTCATCTTTTATCCTTAATTTTTCATTCACCCTAAATTGATTTTGAAAAAATAAATACATTACATTAATCTACTCATGGAGTAAAACACAATCGGCAAAAGAAATATTTTGTCCAATTAACGGGACCCACTAAAATAATTGGTCAAAAGTTGGTCAAACCAACTAATAAAAACCATTTTTTTCCAACAATCCCCTACACGAATAGAAATTAATGCAATAGACTATACGGACCCTATAGACAGATTAGGCGGAATGTTATCACATCCGGACAGGTTCTTTATGG